AAATGCACGAAAATCTCGTCATGAAAAGGATGAAAAAAAGAGCTAGCCTCAGTTTCACCTGAATTGACTAATCACTTGAGTGGGTGCTTGCTATTCGAGGGGCTCTGCGGTAAACTTGTCTAAAGTCCATTTTACGCTACCTTCATGTTAAGTCACAAAGTGCATGTAGGATTGAAGATATGTCACAAACTTCAGATATAGAAGCGCACATCTTGATCACTTGCCTCAGATATTCCGTTTGTTAGAAAAGTGGTATATATAAGCAAATTTCCAGATAAGCTTCCAATGAATCATTTTCATCATTTATTTGCCAAAAAAAGTTGTGGTACTTTATCTTTTTTTCACACCAAAGCCATTCACTAAAGTCCTTTTTCTTTAAAATGGTTTTCAAACTTGTTAATCATTTGAAGTATGATTCAAATTGAGTGTTTTCAAGTGTGAAAGTAATGAAATTAATCTGTTGATTTTGTATTTTGCAAAATAATCGGAACGATGAAACGAAAACGATGTAAAAGTAACGAAAGTCATGTGATGATTTTCGTTTTTCAGAATAATCAAAATCGTAAAGAAAAAAATATCCCACGCAACAAGATGACTCCACTTCTTTCGAAATAATGAAAGTCTTGGCATGAAGAACGCAGAAATAATGAAACTATTTTACAGATCTTGGTTTGGTGAAGTAATCAGAAAAATGGCATGAAAATCATGTGAAACTAATTAAATGAATGTTGTTAGTTTAATTGCTGTGAAATAACAGGATTCATGAAATGAAAGTTACGTTAACATATCAAAACTAATGTAATGATTTTAATGTTTTGGAAGAAACTAAAAGCATGAAATTTTTCGTAAGAAAATTTCGAATTCAATCATTTAAATGCAACTTTCTCGATTTTCAGACTCACTCAGTAGCAACTAGATATAAACGATTCACTTTTGTTTTCGTAAGATCTTTTCCAACAATATTATCAAGAATAACAAGAATAGCGGCCTCAATACTAGTTCTTATTTTTTCACGTTTCCAGAAATAGTTCGAAGATGCTCTTTGTTTATGAATAATATAAAATTACCAATAATGACAGGTTTTGACCTCTGACATCCATGACGATGTTTTATTATTTCAACTATTCAATAAACTGAACTGGCGCTGCTTTTCAACTTTGTTAGCGGTACGATTGAGAGTAGTTTTGATACATTCAAATTCATCTCAGACAATTCTTGTTATAATATAGTGTATGAATAATTTTTCGTCAAAAGATATTATATTACACTTTCGGTATTGCCAGATATGTTCCTATAGAGCATTATTTTATTCAAAATATAGGTATTATGACAACATCTACAAGATTTGTGATGTAGACTGATATGAGAATGATGAGATCTGGATCAATCAATAAAAAAGAAAACCTTCCTGTAAATTTTTCAAAACAAATTGAACGATGTGTAATGATAAATAAAGAATGACAGTTATATCTTGGTTCGGAAATTTTATAGAGTGCTGACGGATGTGGACGTGCGTGTGAGTTCTGATGAGAGTATGAGTGTAGATGTGGCGAAGCTCTTGTTGGTATAGGTAGATCCGGGTGTGGATCTTTGGTAGTCTGTTTTTCTCACACATTTACTTACTACCTCACCAACACGATACTTTGTATTGTGAAATATACTAAAACTTGTTAGCATATGGAATTTCTTTTTACTTTTTTTTATCTCACATTTATCACATTTTCTTTGCTTTGCTTGTTAACTTGGTTCCTTTGAAATATCAGACATAAGCCATTTTAGCACCGACTAGTTAGCATACTGGAAAAAATATAATAAAACATTATTTACTACTTTTTCTAAAGCTAGTGCAAAGTAAATAAATACGTGTGGTATGATTTTGTTTGGATAAGAGATTAATTGACTTTCTTGTCGTGAAACTACTAATGAGCACGGCTGGGCAGAAAACGCATGTCGTAGAGATTTATTTTCATACATCTCACTACTAACCATCCATATTGAAGGCTTTTCCCTCTCTCTGTTTATCCTCTGAAGATGAATCTCTGAATCATCAACCAATATCATAGCTAGCGTGTAAAAGCGCAGAAAATATCAGTTGTTACTAGTGAAGCGAAACGGTAGCACTGTCGGAGTGGACTATTAGCTGAGCGGCTAGAAAAGTATGGATATGAAGTGGATAAAAACAGTGGCTCTCCATGTTTGCATAGGGAAAGTTAACCCGAATTTTGAATAGCTGTATCAATCAGCTCTTTTAATCTATGCATTTTGACAATAATTTGTATGTCATAACGGGCATTGGTTGCATTAGGAAAAGCAAATTTGAAGTCATCTTGACCTCTTACTTGATAATAAAGCTTTCGAATATGAGGAAAGTAATTCCAAAGCGCTGAATCCATCGAACCTGACTCACCCACTTTCCACATTTCTCCGGGTATGTAGGCAGCCTTGTTTACGTAATAATCCATGATAATTGCATGTGCACCTTTGGGAAGAAATGGAACGGTAGATGAGACACCTCCACATGGTGTGATTAACACAGTTGTCGAATATAGTTCATGCATTTGATTTCGGAATGGCATTCCTTTCCAATTGATGATATCAGTTTTTACTTGAGGATATGTTTGTCGAAGAAATCGTTCCACTTCTAGGAGATTTTTAATTCCTCTTGTACTTTCTCGATTTGTTTCCGTTTTATTCACCAATACAATTCGATGAGTTTTCGGTGGGCGACCTAAATCAACACTATGATGAATTAAAATGGCACTTCGATAATCATACAACATTCTTTCTTTGCCATGAGTAAAATGTTCTCGATCAGGAGAAAACATAGCTGTACCACCACCGGCCATTAGATTTTTGAAACAAACAAATGGAGTTGGGAAACTATTCACGTATTCATCGAGAGAGACAACTTTGGCTGCATATGCGGGTACTAATTCATTGTACAGTTTACGAAATTTCGAATTAGCTGATGGGAAATTTTTATATTCCATTAAGACAGCTTGTTTATGTTTATATTCACCGAGACGAACCATTGTAAGGAAAGGTGCTAAAATATCTTCCCAAATAACGTGTCCCGGATTAAATCGTTTGACATGCCAATGTTGAAAGAGAACATAAGGTTGCATTAATTTGGTCACATTCACTGTTGGTATCAAATCATTAACTATTGTTGGGCCCCATGATTCGTATCGACTGGCACGAGCAACAAGATTGACGAAGCCATGATCATTGAAGTGAAAGTCGTACAAATGACCGTGTTTGGGCTCGAACAAGATTGGTTTTCTGGAAAAGTTCGGATGTTGATAAAAATGAAATAATTGCTTTGTTTTATCATAACAAATATTGCGAAATGAACACGTTCGGTACTGCCAGTCATGCTCGTAATTCATATTTCCTGTACAATCAAACGTGGACTGTACATTGGATGTAATATGGATTCTTGGTTCTTCGACTGATTGTATTTTTCTTCTTTCGGCTACGTAGCCATTTGATATTGCGACATAGACGGTAAATAGATTAGCAAATAAAAGAGCTGGTACTAATTTCGAATAAAATTGGCGAGGAGACGGTTTTAATTTTCTTATCATAGCTTTGAGCTCTTTCTTTGGGTTTTTAATGCCACCTTGTGAAGTATTTTGTCCAATCAGCCGCTCTCTATATTTAAAAAAAAAGAAAAATCCAACATCCGACACAAAATACAGTATATTAGTTATCTAACTAAGATTAAAGCTTATTCAATTTTGCTAAGGTTGATAAATTTAAAAATAGAAAAGAACTTATCACGCGTCCGCAGATTTTAATGTCGTCGTCTAGAAGGAATCTGTGTTTTGCTACCAAGAAAATTAAAAAATATGAGCAAAATCATATTACATCGAATGGAAATGTTTTTCTGAACTTTTTTAATACTCGTTTTCTATTTACAGAAGTTGAAGTGGAGGCAAAAACAAGTTTGTATTTTCTCTTCTTTTATATCCATCAAATGCTTCGTAAACAATGAGCCTTTGATTATGATCATTTTCATGTTATTCTTCGTCAATATTGAAATCTAATTTTCAGCAACAGATCCGTCTTGAATTTCACTGCAAAAAATAAATTGAAGTTTTGTCCTATAATACTTAAATGGATAATTGTAGGAAAAACATGCACTTGGCATTAGCCTGTCACTTGTGAAGCTGAAAATATAAGATTATTTGGCTTCATAGGCGGCAGAGTCATTAGGGCAGGGAAGGCTCAAACCTTCCTTAAAAGAAGGAAGAGGGAGACTCGGAGAGACTCACATATTTAATAAACAGTTGTAGATGTCATTTTGAGCTTATGTTTAATAAGTGAAAAGCTTTTGAACGAGAGTTGTTTCATGCTTTTATGGAAGGTACGCTGAAGCAGATGGTTAGTGACACATGTATACAACTATATCTTTTCAAAATCTGGACATATTACTACTAGTGGTCCATTGATCATGCGAAATACTCAGCACGTTCAACAAGTATATGAAGCTGGTATGTCTTTTTCGATCACAAAAGCTACTCCGCTGCACTTTTATACAACATTTCAAAATAGTAAACGAGCATTAATCTTTTGAGAGATTCGATGTCAGCTGAACAGTGCCGAAGCACATTTTTCTCGCACGATAAAAAAGCATAAAACAGATACAGCTGCTAACAATTGTGTAATTAGTCCAAACAATATATCAATTAATTCAAATAAAAATGAAGAAAATGGAATTCTATCTCAAGAATATTTGTCATCAGCATTAATAGAAGTCTCCACCATCATCACCACTAGAGTCAGTTGGCTCCAAAACTTTTAGACTTGGATTCTAAAAACATAAAATATTCATACTCGAACCGAGCCCAAATGTACAGAACATTTTCACATTCCGATCTAGATGGATGAAAAGGAAACTGTCATTCTCACGCCCACACCAGGTCTAGATCCAGGTCTGGAACCAACCCGTTGAGCTCTACAGGCCATTCAGTTTATTTTGAAACAAAATAGAAAAATTTTTATTCTTTTATTTTCACACATTTATTGTAATAGATGTTTGATACGTAAACCATGAGCATAGTAAATTAATCTACAACGCTTTGGCCAATTCTCCAAAGCATGGTCGATTGCATTCTCTTCAAGATTTGCTCACTCGTGTTTGATAGCATTTTTCAACCCATTTAACGTTGACACTTTGTGTTTTCTTACCGTTCTTTTAAAATACCCCAAATCGAATAGTCCATTGGAGCAGCGTCTGGACTCTTAGGTAACTACTATGTAGGTGTTATGACTTGAATTTTCTTTTCTTTCATACAACTAAGTGTTCCTTTCCCTGCATGACCTGGTGCACTGTCTTGATGAAGAATCATTTTCTTTTGTGTATCACCAGGAAATAAACGAGGAATATCATATTTAATAAATGGTTCTATTATATGTTCAATACAATATCGGCTAGTAATTGTTGAACCATGCTCAACAAAATGTAACTGAGTTTTACCATGTGTGCTCACACCGGCCTAAACCAACACAGCCACAGGATGTAATTCATTTCGATCGGTTTTTTTTAACTTCTTCTGGTAATCCATCACTTCTGACATAATACATATCGCTAACACTTTGTCTGCCGTCGAGGTAAAACCATGCTTCGTCAGTAGTTACATAATTTTTATATTTGTCATTGGATAATCGACGATACATACGCCAAGCTCCAGATCGTCTCTTTCCAACGACACCTGGACATAAACGCTGCACCGGTCTTTTTTTACGACATTTTGCATGGATAATATCATGAATAATACTAACAGCAGTACCAACGCTAATATTATATCTTGCAGCCATTAACGAGATTGTTGGAGGGTTTTCTTTACTTATATATGACGTAATAAGACGTACAACTGCAGGTGTTCTTACATGACGTGGACGGTAAAATTTTAGTTTTTGACTATTTAATAATCCTAACTGGCGCTGTTTTCCAAGCTTGTTAGCAATACGACTAATAGTACTTTTGGACCCATTAAGATTCATTTCAGATGATTCTTGTTGTATCACAGAATATGAATACTTTTTCGTCAAAAGATATTTGACGACCCCTTCGATATTATCAGATATTTTATTACGAGGGATTCGTTTATCTAAAATATATATACCATGACAGCATCTACATTGTTAGGTGTATAAACTGATATGAGAACCATGAAATCTATGTTAGTTAAGAACGAAGAAAAGCTGCATGCAAATTGTTTCAAAAAAAACTAAACGACCTGTAAAGACAATTGAAAGTGACACAAAATTGAAGTGCTATCCACATAATGTAGCACCTATTGGAATAAATACATTTCATGAATATTGCACATTACTGGGTTTATCTTTGACAGTTTCTGTAACAACGACTATGGCAGAAAGATCTTTCAGCGTAATGAATCGAATAAAGACATGTGTGTTATCAATAGTTACACAACAACATTTAAATCATGTCATCATTCCAAGTATTCAATAATAAAAAATAAATGAATTGTACTTGAACAGCATCTCTGATTTTATTTTAAAAAATTAGTCTTGAAAAGGTGCTCTTAAGGATGTGGGTGTGGGTGTAGGTGTGGATGTCAGCATGGGTGTCAGCGAGGGTGCCAGTGTGATTGAATGGGCAGCATAGAGCACCCGCCAATAGCCACAGCCACACCCACTCACACACACCACACCAACACTCATACACCCGCACCCACCCAAACCTTACACCGACACACGCAGTAATCTACTAGATCCGCATGAGACTGAAAATTTCCTGCTGCAGTAAGCGATATTCTGATATAGATTTGCAAAATGGTCAGAAACTCTTAACCACTAGAATTTAAGTGCATGCTGTCTGAAAGACCAGTTGCTCTCCAGCGTGGGAAACGAACCCGGCTTATTAATGCTAGGTACTTTTTGTATTCCTACGAATAATTTTTTCCGATTTTTTTTGTCTCAGTAAACAAGACTATGACCGAGAAGCAACTATTTATTCTTTATTTACTGACTAACAGGCATCGTAGCAGACCCTTAAAATATAGGACCATATGTCTACGTAATATATGAATAAATTTCAAAACTCCATGTAAATACACGAAATTTTGAAATTTGTTCATATATTACGTAGACATACGATCCTATATTTTAAGGGTCTGCTACGATGCCTGCTGACTAATTTACAAATACAGATAGAAAAGTTGGAAAAAGTACTAACAAATATAACATCTACTGTCAACATTCGATAGTTTCTTTTTTTTTCAAAACATGCAGAGTAGTTATAGATTAAACGTTTATATTAAACTATCAGACTCCCATGACTGTATTATTATTGTCCAAACTTCTTTATTGTCCTTTACGTTGTGATTTTGCAGTATTATATACTTGAATACGTCACATATGTATTCACATATTATAGTGATACCTTATTTTACGTTTATCTCCATCGAATTATGCTACTTAGGCTTATGTTCATGAATTAGTTTATGTTGTATGCTGCTTGGTTCCATCTCTAAAAGTTTCTAATTATCTGTCAAAATAAATTAAAATTGAAGTTAAAGTCCGAAATGATGCCTTATATAGCTGATGATGAGCGTACAAAATTGAGTACAAAACCGAAAATTTGTATTGTCGAACATTTTACATCAAACTGCAATATTTTCCTTTACTACATGATTGTTGGTGTTTGTGGCTTTAATGCTTTCTTCAAGAAATAGCTATTAGAGAGAAACCAAGATTTCTTATGAATCTTGATTCAAAGTTTTCGAGGTAGACGAATCTGGATTTCGAATCAGTGTCTTCAATTGTAAGAAACTGGTGAGAGATTCACACTCTGAGACCTCAAAAAGCTCAACTAAGCCTTATTAACAAAACTATTTTTTCAAAATATACCTTTCTTTCGACACAAAACTTAAAGCGAAATGGCAGTCATCTCACGAATCCCACTTGAAAACTTCAGTTCAAGCGAATTAAATATTAAGTAATAAAACTTAATCTACTTTTACGCTGAGTTAAGTTGTCCACATTTTGAATTTTTTTGAAATTTCTAGGTTTATTCACTGTTAAGATAATCTAGAAAACTGTACAAATATTTTGAAGTATTATGAAAAATTGAATTCTATGCATTAAATTCCAC